CTTAATTTACTTCTTTGTTTATGTTACTTTGAATTTATGAAATTTAATATAAATGAGGAATTAATGTGGTGTAATTAAATTGTTTTAAGTTAAATTAAATTTAAATTGGTTTTCACGTGAATATAGTTTCACGGGGTTTATAGTTTGCATTGACAGCCGATAGTGTATAACCTAGGTTTGGTTATGGGCTGTATTATACATGGATTAGGGTTTAAAGTTTAAGTTTATAAATAGGCTCATTACGGTGGTTTAGGGTTTAGAGAAACAATTAAACAAAAACGTAAGGAGGCATAGAGGGACAGAGAAAGAAAGAGCAAACAGAGAGGTTACCGGAGAACTTGTGAAGAACCGTCGGTGTAAGGCAAGTTCTATAACTAACTCTATCTCTTTGACCTGTGTTCTTTGTATCCCTAATACAGTCTCAGGATGAAATAAAGATTCAATTAAATTGCTTTACACGTAAATTGCTTCATAACAGTATGTTTTCCTTGTATGTGTGTTTTGTTCGTTTTTAAACTGTTTGTGTTTAATTCTTATTTCAAATTGAATTTAATTAATGAATAATGAATTGAAATTACTCGGGAGCATCTTGGGTTTTAGTTTTAAACTGGAAAGAAAGTGGGTTTGAAAGATTAAACAAATTTGAACAGTATGTGTTCTTGTAGGGGTTTTAATCCACTTAGAAACGGTTTTGCGAAATTCTTGTTTCATATGGTTTTGAATAATAAGTAATGAACTTAAACAACTTTAGAGCCCTTTGGGACTTAGTTTTAATCCATAGGAAACGTGGGTTGGAGGAACCAAGTTGCCGGAGTTGGAGAAGAAGTTGAACAGTATGTTTTCTTTTAGGTACATGTTAAGCGTTTTTAAATTATTCTGTTTAATTCTTGTTTCCACTGAATGTGATTATTAATCAAGGAAGTTAATTAACTTTTGAACACCCAAGGACTTAATTTTAATTAGCAAGAAATTTGGTTTGGAGGATCAACACAGCCGGACACCGCCGGGATTGGAAAAACGACGCACAGGGGAAGGAGCCTGCTCTATTTCAAGTAGAGCAGGCTCAATTAAAAAGTGGAGCAGGCTCTACTTTGTAGTGGAGCCGGCTCTACTTGGTAGTGGAGCCGGCTCCACTTTGTGTGGAGCCGGCTCCTTCAACGGTTTTCAGTTTTTGGCCTTTTCAGTGGTGGTTTTGGCTACGGGTTTCAGAATTTGGTGTTTTCAGATGCTATTAGGAACTATGCAGGGATGTTCCAGTAGCATCTAAGTCCTATTAAAATTTTGAGGGTGTGTTAATACAAAATAAATTACAAAAAGGTCGGTAGTTTTAAACCGTTGTATTTTCAAGTGAACTTGTGGACTGTTTTGGAGGCAGAGGATTTTAAGTGCATAACCATATGAGTTGCAATTTTGTCTGGGAATGGGAATATTGTTTAATCATGTTTCTGTGATTTAAATTAAGCATATTAGATTACAGAATGATTATAATCGGAATAAGTGTCAGTAAGTCACTTTTAAGGAAGTTTACATGGTTAAGATTTTGCAGACGATTCAAGTTGTTAAATTCTAAGTTAGCAATTGAATTAGGGGTTTATGGTTAAATCATGTAACAATGGTATGAGTTTAAACAGGTCAGTTTTTATAAATTCTGTTATCATATAATCAGAAGTTAGTTGATGTTTACAAAGAGTTCTTTATATAAACTTATTGGATGTTGTGGAGTTGGTATCAATAAGCATGTTAATTCTGTTATTATTATTATGCTTGTTGTGAGTTACAGGGTGATTATATTTATTCTCTGCATTTAAAACTTGTTAGAGAATCAGGTACTGGATGTATTAAACAAGCATGCTAGTTAAACATTCTTGTTAAGCTTGTGATTGGATATGTTGATATTGATATGCTATGCCGTTATATATATATTATCAATACTGGATGGATGGTTTGTATGCACCGGTATGGGACGGTGTCATACTAGGGGGATTAGCTCAAAAAAATGCTAAGTCCTACCTACTCTGGATTAAGGGATGGATTAACTACAAAAGTTAAGTCCTACCTGTCTTCTGTGTCAAATCAATAAATAATTGAGTGACACTTTGGTTTGGAATGGAATTTAAATATATTTTTATGATGCCACGATATGAGCCTGAGACTCAGAGTCGTTGGTTAGGGAGCGTATATGCATTGGGATGCATAACTGGCTATGATGGTTGGATGTGTACCCTGCTAGGGCTAGGTAGTCATGCCCACCTTTGGGTGCGTTTTCGCATGGTGCCTACTAGTCAGGTTGAGGCAGGCCTGTAGTCCAGTGAGAGTCTTGTAGTGTGATTATATATATATATATATATATTTATCTACGGACTATTAGCTATTGTTGGATTGGTTAGGATGTACATGCGTATCGGGTCTCTGCTTGGGTAGTAGTAGTATAGAACTTGCTAGTGGGCCTGACCCACTTATTTTTTTTCAGGTGTTGGATGGTTGAGGTCTTAGAGCTTGTTCGAGCTGAGCAGAGACGATCTTTCATTCTACCGACGATGTAGGACTTCTTTCCTGATATTCGATTTGGGCTTTTATCTTCAGTTATTTATTTTCGCTCGGTTTGGATTTTTATTAGGGGTCCACTGGAGATGGATTCCCGAGTTGTAAACTTATGAAGTTTGGATTGTCAGAGTTTAAATATTTATATTTGAGGATTTTTAATTTAGTATTCCTTCAGCTTATTATTATTTCTTAAATTCATTTTGTATTCTGTGTTCGATTAAATATTAATTGTTTGATATCCTTCGGATCTGTGCTCGGACTTGATCACCCGTGGCTCTAGAATCGAGGGGTATCACAGACGCTGTCTCTATCCACTCCCTTGCCGCCTACTCCCCCACAACGTAAACATTTTATTCTTCACAAAAGCCCTCATCGACGGCCACAGCTTTAACTTTTCCGTATCGATGCTGGCGGCTACGGGTGTCATTGAGGAATTCGATGCCCTGACTTGCCATGTTTGTCCCCACTGACGACGCGTTCACAGATCTTCCAACGACTGCCAACTTTAACGTTGCCGCAACTATTGGGTTGGTGGCGATCGACACCGGGATCATTGGCGATTGAATCATGGAGACGGTGTTTAATCAGAACCCAGTTGCAATTTTCAGGGTTTCAAGGGTTTTGTTGCCGAGAGATCTTTTAGAAGATCCCAGTGGTGTCCACGAAGAGTAAGGTGGGTCAAATCGAAGAAGTGTAGAAAAGAGTTTGGGACGAGGAGGGTGAGGGGAGGAGAGGTGGGTCAGATCGGCGGCAACATTGTTGTTGTTCATCTCCATGAGCTTTTGATTCCAAAAAGCTATGTTAACTATATTTTTTGTCTCCCTGTGAATCAATAGCAATGAAGACAAATACACCATTCCACTGATCAAACCAGTGGATTCACTTCTAAGATCACTAATTGCATCCTTTACAAATTTATATTTATATTTGTAACACTAAAAACAAATCCTAAAAATACACAAGGGGAGTTTATATTTATATTTTCAACACTAAAAACAAATCCTAAAAATATACAAGGGGAGAGAGTCAAGAGAAAGAGGCGTTTGTGGAAGAATATAAGAGTTCCTCTCTCGGATTCCAGCCACCGGAGAACTCGTCACCACACTCTAGCAAACCACCAGCCATGCAACTAGAAACTTCGGCTCCATCAACATCACCCACATCCCGGGGATCGACGCTGTCTCTATCCGCTCCCCTGCCGCCTACTCCCCCACAACGTAAACATTTTTTTCTTCACGAAAGCCCTCATCGACGGCCACAGCTTCAACTTTTCCGTATCAATGCTGGCGGCTACGGGTGTCATTGAGGAATTCGATGCCCTGATTTGCCATGTTTGTCCCCACTGACGACGCGTTCACAGATCTTCCGACGACTGCCAACTTCAACGTTGCCGCAACTATTGGGTTGGTGGCGATCGACACCGGATCATTGGCGATTGAATCATGGAGACGGTGTTTAATCAAAATTCGGTTGCAATTTTTGGGGTTTCAAGGATTTTGTTGCCAAGAGATCTTTTGGAAGATCCCAGTGGTGTCCATGAAGAGTAAGGTGGGTCAGATCGGTGGCAACATTGTTGTTGTTCATCTCCATGAGCTTTCAATTCCAAAAAGCTATGTTAGTTATATTTTTTCTCTCCCTGTGAACCTATAGCAATGAAGACAAATACACTATTCCACTTATCAAACCAACGGATTCCCTATTGAGATCGCTAATTACATCATCTGCAAATTTATATTTATATTTGCAACACTAAAAACAAATCCTAAAAATATATAGAATGTTGACTTAGGGTTGAAAATGGTTAAGTGTGTTTTATATAGTAGGGGAATGTTTGATTTTGGTTTTGGTTTTAATTATATTTAGGTCTAGGTAATCCCGATTTTATACAATTTGAAGTTTATTTTATCCTTATTCCAAACAAATACAATTTTACACAAATTTGGACAAAAGAGTCATTTTACATACTCTGTATTTATAGTTATTAATTTATTTAACTGAAGTAAGGATATTATTATCATTTTATACCACACAGGGATTTATTTACATCAAATTAATAGTATAAGAATTTTTTTATCACACCGGACCGTTTGTACTCGATAAAGTGAATTTTTTACACTAAAACCGAAATAATATCTAGCAGTTGATTTGGCACAGTGACCGTGCAAGTAAGTAATAGTGAAAATACAAAGCAAATATATATATATTTATTAAACACTGTAATATATATATAGAGAGAGAAGGTGCTACCTTGAATTGATTTACAGAGGCGTCTAGAACCCTATAATTACATTATACGCTCACTACACGGTTTTGTGTATATTATGAGGTTGTTATATGCACAATATCTTTAAAATTTAGGACATTTTAGTAATTTTCCGAAGAAAATAAATCTTTATACTGTAAAACAACAAAAAGGTAAGGGGTCAAACTAAAATTTAGCTTAAAGATTAAAATGAATTCAGCTTGTCTAAAACCCTCCCGCCGGTTTGCCCTCAGTCGAGAGAGAAAAGAGAGAGAGAACGGAAATCGCAAGTGCATAAACCCGTTGAATAAGGTTAGTATCTTCTTCCTTTTACCTCGATTCTGATTGCAGCTCTTATCATTCTTGTAAATGTCTGTCAATTTATCACATGATATGTTGAATTTCGAATTATCAGCGTCGATTTGCTTTGGATAACTAGGGTTTCTATTTTGTGCCCGTTTAAGCTTTACCAGTTTGATTCATATTTTGAATATGTTTCCAATAGTTCGATATCTGACATGTTCAAACCCTTAGCTTGAATTGCATTGGTCGGGTCTACTTCAACAATGTGTTAGATGAGTCGTCTTTACTAAACACTGACACAAACACGTATATGCACTGAAGTATGGATCTATACTTGACATGAATCGGTCCAATTTCATCTCCTACAAGCTAAAACTATGGTGTGCTGCATCTTTTTTGGCCAGGTAGTAGAGGTTTCTTGGTGCCTCAAAACAGAACCCTTGTTTCTGAAATAATTTCTCTGTAATCTTGAAAGATTTGCCAGTGTTAGTTTGCTAATTTACTGGGACAAATTTAATCATATTGATAATAGCCTCGGAGTCCGACCCCAGAACAAATTCAAATGGTGTTTTGCCAAAAATCAACAATATCACCCGAACTGAAACTCCATTTGATCTATATGTGTAATTTTGTACAAGACATTCCTCTTGCACACACCCCTCCATAAAAGGAGACTTCATTTTTATCATTGGGACTAACTGGCTAAGGATAGAGTCCCCTTTGTGGTAGTTTTTCCTCAGCAGTCAGGACCTAATCCTGTTGTATTTTTTCTACTTCTTGAGACAAGGATATTATTTATGTATTTAATTATTTTCCTGTATGTAGCCTTAATGACTTTTGTGTAGGTGAATGGGGATGTGTCTGATGACCATATACTTTTAGAAATTGTCCTTTGGAAAACAAGTTTCTCACATCTTTATTTATTTATTTTTGGGTAAGATATCTCCAAAAAAAGATTTATCTCTATTTATTTCTTTTTGAGGTATTTCAGATTCTAATTTGGGATGTTCTCAACACATACAAATGCTCTGTCTTTGCTTGGCATAGTTATGTCTTATGTATTTATATATATTTTTTATATCATTTTATTGGGAAAAAAAAAATGATATAACATATAAGTTGCCAAGCTCTTGTCTTTTTCGTCCGCCTTCCTCTTGTAATCGACACCATCTTTTCTTTTCTGCCACGTCTATTCATGTCAAGTTGGTCATTCCTTCTTTTGATTTGAAAAAGATCGATTGAAGCAGTGGGGGAACAGGTTGCTCAACTTGAAAATCTGGTTTGCATGCCAAGTGGGAAGAGGCCCAGTCTGGATTTTGTTGAGGCAATGCAAAACTACTTTGAGGAACTTTCTGCAGAGACTAACAAGAAGTACACTGATGTCATGGCATACATGTGCATGTTAACAGATGCCTTTCCTCCCCCAATCCTTCCTTTTCACTCGCTTCCTCCCATCTTTTCGGTTCTCTTTTCATTTATGGGGCTTGTAGGTCATGAAAGATCTGATTTAATTGCAATGATCTGAATTAGTTGTGGGGCGTAATTGTGTTTCAATTTTTTTCTTCCTTCCATTTAGTTTCTTTTCCTCCCTGGGAGCACGAGTCAATGAAAGATTCTATGTGTTCAATTTTGGCTTGCTTGAAAGTTTCTTTATGTTTGTATTTCCACTGAAATTTCATGTTATTTTTTCTGTTTTCAGGGACTTTAAACGAGCTTCACAGCAGTTCAATAAGCAATATCTTGTTTAGTACTGCTTAAAATGGACCTTGATGTCCGGACTCCTGGCTCCCAACTATTTTCTCAATCTCAATACAAAAAAAGAAAAATTTGTCTGAATAGCACAGATTCTTCATCATCATATCAGGTTTTGTCTGAGAGTAAAGCTTCCTTACCTACTTTGCGATCTTCTGATTATTTTACGGAACCTTGTTTGAGCGAGTTGGCCACTCGGGAACTCAGGGATCCTGGATATTGCAGCCGAGTTAAAGGTTTTACAGTGGGTAGGTTTGGTTATGGATGTGTCAAATTTATTGGGGAGACTGATGTCAAATGGTTGGATTTAGATCAGATTATCAAGTTCAGTAGGCATGATGTAGTAGTATATGAAGATGAAAGTGCCAAGCCTGTGGTTGGTCAGGGCCTTAACAAGGCAGCTGAAGTAACTTTAATGTTGCAAATACGATTCTCTTCAGAATATAAAGAGGAGCAACTAAGAAAAGTTGTCAGGAAATTGAGGCTCATCACAGAGAGACAGGGAGCATGCTTTATTTCATTTAACCCATTAAATGGTGAATGGAAATTCTTAGTGAACCATTTTAGCAGATTTGGATTGAGCGAAGACGATGAAGGCGATATTGTAATGGATGATGAGGCCGAAGAAGTTCAAGATCCTGTGGAGATGGATGGTGGTAATGTTTCTGATATTGATGAAGAAACTGCAGTAGTAGATCCAATTCTGCTTTCACATTCTCTTCCTGCTCATCTTGGGCTTGATCCTGTCAAGATGAGAGAAATGCGAATGTTGATGTTTCCTGCGGAGGAAGAGGAGACTGAGGATTTTAATGGGATAGTTTCACATCAGAAACTACCCTCCGGTAAAGAATATACAAGGTCTCCTTTACAGCATTCTACTTGGAGGACAATCTGCAGATCAAGTCCTCCCGTAGTGCGGAAATCGCCATTAGCTTTGCTTGAGTACAACCCTGGTAGTTTTGACTCTAGTTCTCCTGGAAACATTTTGATGGCCCAACAAAATAAGAGCCTACCTTTGAAGACAACAAAAGTTGAAGGTTTTAAGCTGGACCTCAAGCACGAAACACCGGTAACTGGAAGGTATTCTCACAACGTAGTTGATGCAGCATTGTTTATGGGTAGGTCATTTCGTGTTGGATGGGGTCCTAATGGTGTCCTTGTTCACACCGGTGCACCTGTTGGGAGTGATAATTCTCAGAGGGTGTTATCTTCTGTAATCAATTTAGAAAAGGTTGCAATTGATAAGGTGGTTAGAGATGAAAATAACAAAGTCAGAGAAGAACTTGTTGAATTTTGTTTTGATTCTCCACTAAATCTTCACAAGGCAATAAATCATGAAACAAAAGAAATTGAAGTTGGCCCCTGCAAACTAAAGCTTCAAAAACTTGTTTGTGATCCATTGATGCTTTCAGAGATTTGTCGGAGCTATATTGGAATTGTTGAGAAGCAGCTGGATGTTCCTGGATTACCTTCTTCTGGTCGTCTGGTTTTGATGCACCAAGTTATGATCTGGGAATTAATAAAGGTTCTTTTCTCTGCAAGGGAAATGAGTGGACAATCAAAGCCTGTGGGCGCTGACAATGAGGAAGACATGATGCATGATAGGAAGGAAGGTTTTCCAGAAGTTGACCTGGAAGCTCTTTGTTTAATTCGGAGGGCGGAGTTCAGTTATTGGTTGCAAGAGAGTGTTTGTCACCGGGTGCAAGACAAAGTAAGTTCCTTGAATGAGAGGAGTGATTTAGAGCACATATTCTTACTCCTAACAGGGCGACAGCTGGATGCGGCTGTAGAATTGGCTGCTTCTAGAGGAGATGTGAGACTGGCTTGTTTGTTGAGTCAGGTTGGTGGGTCCACTGTCAATCGATCTGATATTGCTCGGCAGCTCCACCTTTGGAGAATTAATGGTCTGGACTTCAATTTTATAGAAAAGGACAGGATCAGGCTCTATGAATTGCTATCTGGAAACGTTCATGGTGCTTTACTTGACATTAGAGTTGACTGGAAAAGGTTTCTAGGATTGTTGATGTGGTACCAACTTCCACCTGACACTTCATTGCCCGATATTTTTCACACTTACCAGCAGCTTCTTGATGTTGGAAGAGCTCCATACCCGGTTCCTGTTTACATTGACGAAGGACCGGTAGAAGAGGCTGTAAATTGGAGTCCAGAGGAACGTCTGGACCTCGCGTATTATCTTATGCTTCTTCATGCAGGTGAAGGGAGTGAATTTGGTCTCCTGAAAACCATGTTCAGTGCATTTGCCTCAACTAATGATCCACTTGACTACCATATGATCTGGCATCAGCGTGCATTATTGGAAGCAGTTGGCACTTTTAGTTCTAATGATCTTCATGTTCTTGACATGGGATTCATTTCCCAGCTGCTGTGTCTAGGACAATGTCATTGGGCCATCTACGTGGTACTTCATATGTCCCATCGTGATGATTTTCCATATCTCCACACTAGTCTTATTAGGGAAATCCTGTTCCAATACTGTGACTCTTGGAGTACACAAGAAGAACAGCGCCAATTTATTGAGGACTTGGGCATTCCTTTGGCATGGTTGCATGAGGCTATGGTATGTTGCTATTTCTTGCATCCATCATGGTGTTACATAAATTAATTCTTTCATTAGCCTCTGTTTTAGTATGGTTTGTTCATGGTCTGGGATACTGTGAAACTGGTGGCGTCTATCAATGTTGGCTGCCATTTGTTAGTTCTTATCTAGGTCCCTTTTGGACTGTATCCAGGTGAATGGGATGCTTTTACGTTTGAACTTGCTGCAAAATTTCTTTTCTTTTCTGGGAACCACTGGGTCATTAGCCCAGCTAGTATAATTTCTCCTCCCTCAAAGGGGAGGTGAGTGGTTCGAGCCCCATAGTGGGCATTTGTGGGTGTGTGTGAGTATTACCTAACCAAAAATAAAATAAAATTCTTTTCGGGGAAACTTATTCTGAACTTTTGAAGGGATCAGTTGTGGACCTTGTGGTTGACTTCCACTCAATGACATAAAGGTTGACTTCCACTCATAAAATGTCATTGATAATGAAATAGAGCTGTGACTCTTTTCTTGACGATGTTTGCTGGATGAAATACGTTGTTATTTGTAAATGCAGGCGGTATATTTCAATTACTACGGCAATCTTCCAGTGGCCCTTGAACACTTTCTTCAATGTGCAAGTTGGCAAAAAGCACATTCAATTTTCGTAAATTCAGTTGCTCATTCTTTATTCTTGTCAGGTGAAAATCTAACCTTTACTTGTGTGCAGCATATTGCTTTCTATTTCTCCGTAATTATACCTGTTGTTTGGACAACTCCAATGCAGATTATTTTGTGGGTTTCAGTATCATGCATAAAATAGCTTCCACTAAACAAGTAGATGTTTGAACTCTCATAATGAAAGACAAATGAGACTTAGATCTACAATCGAGCGTCGTATGGATATATGTTTGGTTAAATTACCCAAACTTCCATAGAAATATTATCAAATTACTCACTTCGAATCTAGAAATTACACTGCTTTTTTTTTTGCTTGTAGGAATAAATACTAAATTTATTAATGAGTGCAGAAAATGTGTAGTTCCGATATATTTGATACTAATTTGTGAAGGTTTTGATGATTTAGCACACCAAAACTAGATATCCCGACAAGTAGGTTCAATGAGGTTTTCTATGTCTTATGTCTACCATTGGACTTTGGATTATTATTATTATTATTATTTTTTTATCACGGTATAGATAAAATAATGATATAGTGTGATCTATTATTGCTGTGGGATTTGTATCATTTCAAATATTTCCACAATTATTAAAGGTTGATATTCTTAAAGTTTTTTGTAAATTTATGGAGAATTCTTAATTTCCTTGTATATGCTAAACTATGTTGTTGCATATCCCGACTTTCTTTACTAGTTCTATACATTTGATTAATGCTCCTGGTTTAGCAGCTTAAGCTTTTCTTTTTCATCATAAATTCATACTTCACCATTTTGAGCAGACATGAAACCTAATTTCACCTCACTTTTTGTTAACTGTACAATCCAGATTCATTCTTTGAATGCATTTTTAAAATAATTAAATTGGGTAAATGTTTAAGAACGTGTTGGTTTTTGTTCTTTCTTTCTTTTAGGAAAACAAGTTCTGAGAGTTTGCATCAAAGGCTTCTGAGAGATATTTTGGTAAAACAAATTTTGAAACAGAATTTTTTTAAAGTTTTTTGTTTGTTTTTAAAACAGAAAATAGTTCTCAAAAGAAAAAAAAATAAAAAAAATAAGAAAAAATCCAAACAGACCCATTAGTTTGAAGACTCTTGAAACCAGAGGATGAATGTGAGCACAGTAGGTTCTTAACAAATTTATTTATTTTTGATAAGTACAGTAGGTTCTTAACAACTGAATCTGTATAGAGCCATGGTATCATTGGTATGACACATTATTACACGCTACAATCATAAATGGGAGACTAATGGATTTCCTACTTCAGAAAAATGCGTCTTCACAAATTGCACTTTAGTGTTTAACAAAAATTACCCTTTTTGTGTTGATAATACTGTACCATTTATTTGGGAAAAAAATAATCCAGCTTTGAGTTATATTGGATTCTTCTGGACTTGGTTATGTTGCAAGTGGGAAGAGAGTGCATTCCTTCAGAAAGTGTACTTCTTGATTGACTGTTTTGGTTGTTGATGCATTGACTTCTTGTTACGCTTGTCAAGATTAGTGGAAGAAAATTTCATACCTGGATTATAATTTACTTCAACTATGTGACTGTCAAAATGCTGTTAAGGAAGTGTTGAACATGATTATGCAGCCAAGGACTCGGAGATATGGAGGCTTGCAACTGCCATGGAAGGCCACAAGTCAGAGATTGAAGATTGGGACTTAGGAGCTGGAATTTATGTATCATTTTATCTATTAAGAAGTTCCTTGCAGGGAGATAATAATACCCCGACTGAAATGGTAAGAAAATTTTTCAAAATATATTTCTGTTGGTCCTTATATAGGGTATATCTTGCATTTAGTAGTAGCGGCACAATGAAATTTGTTTCAGATATTGAGGCTTAGCTGCTTCAATTATAAGTTTCATGTTGGTTGTAAATGGTTGCAAATTGAGCAGGTACCCATCAAAGTTGGAGACTGAAAAACGTTCATGCATGCATGTCATATATTATACTCCCTCTATCCCAAAATTCTTGGGGTGTTTGGGAAATCCTACTTTTTATGATTGTGGGTTTTAATTTTTTTATTTATTGTATTGATAAGAGTGAATTTCCAAATTTATCCTTGTTAAAAGACAAAGGAGTACTCCGTAATTAGTGCACTTGTTTAATCAAATCCATGTCAAAAAAATAGTTTGGGAATGTTATAAAATACGTCCATTTTTGGAAAGGGACATGCATTTTACTATTTTGGGACATCCCAAAATAGAAAGATGGACAAGAATTTTGGGCCATAGGGAGTAGTAGGCAATGTCACCTAATCATTATACCATTTTGTGACCCTTGACATGCATATTAGGCCAGCTGCTGCTGCTTCTTGCAGCCCTCTCCCTGTTTAACTGGCAGTATAAAAATCTTCATGGAAGGAGCAAGACTGCTTTGACTAGTCAAAGCAAGAAAAAGAGATAAAAAAAGAAACGTAAAATGAAAGAATAAAGGATAAAGAGCAAGTTTATCTCCAGATTGATGCTGCTAGAATACAATGATCAAGGCTCTGGGTTGTCAATGGGAAGACCATTAATAGGAAGGAGCAAAATTGACTCCAATTTTGTGAATTACAATGTATATAGTTGGATTAGAACATTTTTGATAGGCTTGAACAACGATGATTATAATTTCTGGCATTGGAGATTGGGTGTTTTTTTAAATCAAAGGAAAGTGGAAGCTCAGATTGAGGACTTGAATACTTAAAATTTATTGTGATAATTCTGATGAACATGTATTATTGCTTGCAGGATACTCTTGAGAACAAGACTGATGCTTGTAGAGACTTCTTTGGTCGCTTAAATGAGTCTCTGAGCATTTTGGGTAGCAGATTACCAGTTGATGCAAGGTATCGATGTTAATCTTTCTACTCATAATTTGAATACTCACAAATATGAATGTTCTCAACTTAATAATACATCTTCAGCATTGGCTTTATGACTTGTTTGTTGTTATATCATCTTAATGTAACTTGCACCAAGCTTCACTTAGACCAGCCATATTTTTCGGGACAGAATGTTGATGGGCAAAAAAACAACATACTCATAAAATGAGCGCTGACAGAAATGCGAATGTTGAGATGGATGTGTGGCAAGACAAGAAAAGATAAAAGTAAAAATGAACAGAACCATGTGATGATCGAAGTAGCTCCAATTCGAGACAAAATGAGAGAGAACTGATTAAGATGGTTTGGCATGTGCAGTGATGATAAATAGCTGCACCATTTAGGAAAGTGACGAGTACTTGTCGAGGGTAATGCTAGGGAAGGGGAAGATAAAAACTGCAATGGTTGAGGTAGCCAGGAAAGATATGATGGCATGTGGTTTAACTTAGACTAGGACCTTAAATGGCGAAATAGAATTCACATAGCCGACCCCAAATAATTGGAATAAGGTTTTGTTGAGTTGGGTAGTCTGTGTGAATGAAAAGAACCTTAGCTAGAGGTGGGGGTGTTTGTTGGGGAGTGGGAAGTATGTAAACATCCTTAGTTCCTCAATTCATTCTGTGTTGCGAAATCCATCATTGGCTAAACAAACAATCATTTGGTTAAATTTTGGGCTCTACTCTAATTGAGAAGGGAGAAAGCCCTGAGAAATGAATTGTATCTCTTCCGATTACTACATATTGTAGAAATCCATTCTCTTCAAGATCCATGCATGTCCTACCGAAGTGCTAAGAGAACCAGGCTTGCTAAGCTTAGAAAGCTCTTGATCGTCGAAGGCTCTATTCTGTTCTTATGGACAACTAATCCAAAAATGTACCACCTCTTGAGCGAAATGTGGCTAAAGGGGGGAACATCCTTGGATGACTGATGTTGTAAGGAGCACTAGTTTGTTGTCGCTGTCTATTTCTTTAACTGCTGTACTGGAGAACATGTTTTGCACAACTGACACGGGAAAACAGTTGCTTTTGTAGCCATTCCCTATGAAGCATTACAGCTGGATGCACTTCAAGTGATTAGCTCTTATAGTGGACTCTGCATAATTGCAATTACTTAATTTTAGTGTTAAAGTTGTGACATCTTTCTTTTTTTCAGTTATTTTTATTTATTATTTTGTTTTTGAGCATAAGAAGAGGATACCGATGGTATCTTTAAATTTCTCCCAACTGGCAATCTCTCATATGATTCTCAAAAAGTTTCAATATCTAGGTTAGCTTCAAGCACTTGGGTGCTGTTAAATCAGCCTTCTAGAGACAATGTGGGGAACACAAACTTTCATAGTGTTCAGTGATGCTGGTCTCTCCATATTATTTGGGTTTTGCAATTGGTTATCTACTTCTCTAACATTCAAAATAACCAACACTGAAATTCCATGTTTCAGAGTGGCATATTCGAAGATGGCTGAGGAGATCTGCAATTTGCTTCTATCTGATATTGGCGCTGGTGCGACACGTGACTTTCAGTTGAGCTGCTTTGACAGTATATTCAGTGCACCCATCCCTGAAGACCTCCGATCATGTCATTTGCAGGATGCTGTATCACTGTTTACGTCATATCTTTCCGAGGCAGCCTCATAGTGTAATTTTTTTCCCCATTTATTTTAAGACTAAATTTGTAATTCATGCTTGTGTTAGTCAAAACATGGAGTGTCGTCTGTGGCGTTGTCTCTTGTATCATAACCCTATTATTTTCAGATAAAATTTTGTAGCTTATATTTGTAATATTAAATTGGGACTGGTTCTTATCAATTTTACCTCGAATATATTTCAATCGTCTTCTATGGTGTTCTTCTATTCAAGTTTCTGGTTTATATGGATACTTTTTTTTATTTAGGAAAATCAGTGGCAAATCATTAGAGATCGATGGTCTAGAGGGAAGAAACAATGACACTAAATTGATGGTCTAACGAACATTTGATTTATCAGAAAATGGATATTTTTCAAAACAAATGTCAAGGTAAATGTGTGGTTCTGAGTCCCTTGCCCTGCCGCATTTGACTATATATAATTATATAATTATATATATATATATATATTCTCTTGAAAAAATATGCATGCCTATTTGAATTAGACATTTTTATGTTGCCGGGTAACTTTGATTCCTTTTGAAGTCAAATTGAGAACCAATGCTTTGCTGGGCTTCTTTTAATGGACTTCCTCGGTACTCTGTGGCTTCCATTGGGAGCGCATATCAATGAATAGAGACGTTCACAAGAGCTTCGACTGTCAACTAAAAAATACTGTTACATTTTTTTACCAAACCAAATTAACTACAAATTATGAACAATACTCTCTACTTTCCAAAGAGAACGTGTTTTGGGAATGACAATGTTGCTCCATTCTAACTAATCAAATCTTTAATTTCTTTTCAATTTTGAATTTTCTCTTTTTAAGATTCTAATGAGTTTTGGAGACCAATCCACTCCATGAAAATCACCAAAATTGAGCAAAAAATTGTGGGTCACCAAATCGACCCAGATAGTGATCGCGGGCCTGCAGATGCGGACCCGCTTCCATTTTTTTTTATAAAAAAAATAATAAATACAGGCCCATAGCATTGTTGCAACGGCTCCCATAGCCCGTTTGGCTTAGAAAATTGGCAAAATCAATTTTTTGGCCCTTATTTTTTTATTTTTATTTTTTATTTTTTACCTAAACAATACTGAAATTAAGAGTCACCAAGGCACTGTTTGGTTGACAGAAACCGTGCCTAAAGGCTAAAACAGTTTTTTAGTCCCAAAAAAGGTTCAATCTCACTTCTTTTTGTTTTTTCCTACACAACACTGAAAATAGAGCCATTAAGGCATTATTTAGCTGACACAAACAGTGCCTTAATAGCTCTAATGTCCAAAAAAGTTAATTTCAATTTTTTTTTTTTCATTTCTTCTTAAAAAACAAATATTAAATTTTTTTTTTAAATTGCATTTATTTTCACCTTTATAATAAATACATTAATCCATAATGAATATTGTATTGTTTAATTTATTTTAAAATTAATTTACTAATTAAGTACATAATAAATATTAAAATATTATTATATTTAAAGAGTTAAAATGCATTGAATCACATACTATAACTAAAATTTGAACAGTTCAAAATGCAAATATGATTCTTAAAAAATACTTATGTGATAAATTTAGATTGTCAATTTTTAGAGATTCATGTTGCTTTAATGCTTCCAGATTTAGACTTTTGTATCTTACAAATGGCTATTGTGAGAATGTGGAAAAATAAATAAATAAATAAATTATTTTTTATTTTAAAAAATGACTACTTTGAGAATGAACCAATAATACCGAAAAATGGTCGCTTGTACCAAATGAACGAGTTATGTTGGGCACTCAGGTTGAGGACCGTTTTGCCATCGGATGGTGAACTGTCCAAACTGACTGTAAGTCACTCACTCTCTCTCTCATGTTGAGAAGGATAGTATGAGAGGAATGTTTGGCGCGAGATGGTTTTCAAGGCGATTCATATATGTTCAGAACAGACCCTTTTGCACCACCAACAAACCCACCATAAACAACAATGGCAGTGCCAACGGTTCTTTGAGTAAATACGACGACGCGCACCGTCAGCTAGACAATCTCGATTTCATGACCGCCGCTAAAATTCTCTTCACCACTCCCCCCAACAAGAAGAAATTTGGGTATTCAAATTTATGCTTCTTGTCTCAAATTGTTTATTAATAGAGCTTCTCCTAGGCATTTCGTCAAACATGTTCACTTCAATGTCCAATAAAGCTGTGATTGATTAGTATCTATGCATTTATGAGTGCAACTGTGCATACATTTTTTGTGGGTGTTTCTTTAATTTCACTACTACACTTAGAACTCATGTTACAAGAACTCTAATTTCACTAATACCTGTCTAAGCTTTAGTAATGGCTGGCTACATTTGCTTGCAACACTGGGTAAAGAGTTTCCAATTCCGTGAAGTTTTTCGGTGAAACTGAGTAACGAACTAGATGTGACAAGTTGGGGAATCCTGTTATAAAAGGTTTAAGGCTCCATATATATTAATTGCAAAAATGAAGAAATTCGTACTGATTGAGAAGAGGGTAGTTAGATGATGGATGAAATCATATGGTAATTGTGCTAGCCAGGAACACCTAGTAAGACAGAGAACTGATCCTTAATGTGGGTTTCTGGAAATTGATTGTGTCATCTTTTATTTATACCACACTTCAAAAACTTTTTAGAGCTTAAATAATTTTAGTGACACCGAAGAAATTTACCATATTTACATTTGTGATTAAAGACTCATGAGGGTCAAGAATTCAGGAAGATGCTTATGGCATCGAAACATATTAAAATACAGAAATATGAACGTTGAAACAAAAAATTATGTGCTGCTACTTATGGTCATTAATATTAACCATTAACCAAGTATTTTTCTTGGCAATAAAGCAAAACAACACAACACGTTTTGCTTCAAAACACTTTCACAGAAACAACAACAATGCCCAAGTATTTTATTTCCTTTTAGTAAGGAAAACACATGTTCTCGTGTTGGGAGTTGAACCATGCACCTCGTTTTTTTTCCTAGTTGAACCATGCACCTCTTATATAGAGATTGAAGCAGATACAACTTAATCTTACATATGCAAGCAACTGAATGTTCTTTTTACTTCTTATTTTGGGAATTGGATGAATAGATGTCAGTTGTGCACAATGCTACTTTATCTCTAGTTCATATTGCATTACCCATTTTATCATCCTATTACCAACATCACATTTCACAGATTAATATTACTTAAAATAATCCTTCATAGCTTCTATGTGCTATATTACATGCACTTATTCTTGTCTCAAGTGCTGTAAAAGTAAGTGTCACGTGACACATTTTCTATGAGGCTATGACATGGTTAATTTTGTCAATTTGAAATATCCTTTTATTTGAGAAAGATGCATACAAAGAATTCTAAAGAACGTGAGGTGAAATGTATCTGAAACACATGGTGCATAAATGTACATCAGGCATGCTGGCATGTTTTACAATTATACTGAAACGCATGGCGCATAAATGTACAACAGGCATGTTGGTGTGTTTTACAATTATATATCATATTATGTGGTGCTCAACTTGGAGAGTTGCACGCAACACTTCTCCATGTGCTTTGTTTGCAGATGGAATTATAGATCACTTCCCTCAAAATGTCACTAATCGCATGAAAATTCTCTCTTCGCACTCCTGTTATCTGCATGGCATCTTCATTTCAGTTCTTGGTACATTTTCTTATCTCTCTCTCTCTATGGCCAGGATTGATTTCCATCTGGTACAACTCTTCTTTGCCTGCATGCCTTCATTGGGTATTTCTACTCACATGTTTAAAATATGCCATATTTCATGTTTAAGATGCTTTTTGAGTTTGGTTCTGCTATTTAAAAGATAATAATTTCTTGCAACAGCTGTATATTTGGTGGCTCAATATGCTCGCTACGAAATGAGAAGAATGGAGGCGGTAATGAAAATTCTTCATTTTGTCACTTCTCATAACTAGGTTTTTTTTTAAAATTAAAAAATTTATTCTCTCTCTCTCTCTCTCTTCTTTTTAACTATTTTTGGAAGACTAGGCTTCATCTGTACATCTGAATCCATTTGACAAAGTAACAAAGACATGCTTCTAGAGAAGTCCTTTTGATGCACCCATCTTTTTAAAATAACAATCTTCACCGCAACAGAATATTCTTTTTTAGGCATTTTTCCCATTTGATCTAATGGCTATAAAAATAGCCTGCATCAAGATAAAGTCACAACAGAATTTCCCCATTTAATTGTTGCATTTACTATATTTATTCAATTAACAGTATCATTTATTTCCGTTCTGAATAACCCCTGTTCCCTCCCCCGACCATGACATTGATAATAAGTGTAAAGCTCACATGCTTATCAGAAAGCAAAAAATCCATATACAAATTTTTACGGGTGATTTTCTTTTGTGCTAGTTTCAATTTTTATTTTTCCTGGTTTTGCTGTTTTGCTTTCCCGTAGGTCGAGAAGCAAGAGAGATAATTTCTTTTATAGTTTCAATTACTGTATAAGCAGGCTTCTGCAGTCATCGGCAGTCGCCTTCTGTCGCTAACTCACCCACTATATTGTGATTTCGTTCTGCTTGAACTTGAGGAAACAACATAACTGGAAAAATTGTTGAGTAAATGGATCTTCAATTTTTGCTTTCATGAGATTTTCGTTGTATTTGAATTTTGAAATGATTTTCCCCCTGGAAGGTTTAGACTCTATCACCTTTACGTCCATCCCTTTGACGAAGTGAAGTTCGACAAACATCCTTTTCTCCAGACTGTCCGTGGAGGCTTTATGCCTTTAGAGCTTGGTGTGCATTACTTTGTGGTGAAAAATAAGAGTTAAAAAAACCAAATCAATTAATTATTAGTATATTTTAATGGCAATGTCTTGATAAATCTGGGTGGGATACATACCAGCCAACTCAACTCCCTTAGTTAGAGAGGGAATTGCATGCAAGCAAGCGTCTATCTGGAAGTTGTTAGGTATATTAGAAGGCTATCCCACAGAGTCAGAGGAGAGACCCTTGAAAGCTCTACCAAGCTTAATTGGAGTAATCCGCAGCTGAGAAGGTGACTCTACCCAGGAATAGAAGTACTGAGATGTCAAAGGCCCCAATGCAAAATCCTCTTCATCAATGGCAGTAGCAGATCTTGTGGCCCTTTCGTTAACAGCTCAAATTATCATTTGTTCAACTTGAGTTGTTGAAACAGAAACTGTAGATTTTTGTTTCCATGGGATGCCAATCCCACCTATTATACAATGCATGTGACTAAGATCCTTAACTTCCTTTGCATCATGTTTGGTGGTTCAAAAGTTTTGCTTTAACAATATTAGTTCTTTACTTTTGTTCCTTTTATGGGATTCCGAATTTGATTGTTTTGTCATGATTCACAATCTCAGGAACTGGAGCAGAAAAAGCGGGCTGAAGAAGAAGCAAAAGCAAAAGAGGAGGAGTTAAATGTTACTGAAGAAAAAGAAGCAGGATCAGATCCGGAGATTTTGGAGGTAAAAGTGAGGCTTGATAAACTGGAGGAGGCTATAAAGGAAATAGTTGTTGAATCAAAGAAACCATCAGGCAGCACCGTAACCAAAAACCAGGAAGTTTCTAACAAGAAACATTCTACAACACCTGAACCAAGTGACACCCAAAGTAGATTGGAAGCAAGCTCTGCAGTCAAGGACCATGACAGTAAACAGTCATCTGAGAATGTAATGCCAGGCTCAGGCCATGGGAAGGCAAGTGGATTAGCACCAGTTACAGATGCTTCCCAGCAAAATCAAAAGGGGACACAAGATGGAGGTCTTTCTCCAGAGTCAAAGAAATGAAGAGAAGCCACTTTGTAGTGCATGAACACTTTTTTAGTGGGAGCCTGAGAGGATCTATTATTAGCGGAGCCATGCACTGGATGCAATGTGTCCAAGCTAGAATCCAACAGGTAACCCATCATATTTGTGCAAAGAAAGGTGTCACACATCAGCATGATGATGCAATGGTTTGTAGTTGCTGATGCACAGAATTTTGCATGCTTTGTTGAATGTTTACATTTTGGGGCTTCTCTTCATGAATCACATTTGAGTGATAGATATTATCTTTTCTTTTCTTTGCATTCACAGCCAATAAATAGATGGCTATGGGTGCTTTGGTAAGATGTTGTGGGCTTGGCAATAATTCTGTTTAATATGTGTCACCAGTCATTTCAAGGAATGGGATGATGAACTAGAGGATTGGCTTTTATGACTTTTTGGAAACAAGGGGTATAAATGATGAACTTGCTGTTTTCTTTAATGAATATATGAAGAACTAAGATTTACTGAGTTTATTTGGTGGATCCTTCATCGTAGTCCCCCCCCAAAAAATTGTTACATGATATTGGACAGTAGATCTTAATTTATACAAGTTAATAACTTGGGTTTACTGTCTTAGATTAGTGGTTATATCATATTTGCTTTGACTGATAGGTAGTCAAGTTGGTCATCTTACTTCTTTTTTTTTTTTTTTTTAATTAATTATTTATTTATTCTGACTTCGTGGTGGAATATATAAATGTTGGAATCAAGTTAATTAGAATGTGTTAAATTTTTCAATGGATTGGAAGTGGTCAATTTTTCTTAAAGAAATAGTAGGGGTTATTACTTAATTCCGTCGCTTAAGATCCAATTGTTTGATCTTTATGTTAAGGATTGATGGAAATATGAACCCTGGTTGAGAAATTGACTAGTTTTACTTCTTATCCCTCCAGGAAGGGCATTAGATACATTCTAGTATTGGAATGATGAACTGCAGGACTGGCTTTATGAAGTATTGGAAACAAGGGTTATAAATGATGAACTTGCTGTTTTATTAAATGAATATATGAAGAACAAAGATATACTGACTTTATTTGGTTGATCCTTCATTGTAGTCACAAAAGATAAAAAAATTGTTACGTGACGTTGGACAATAGATCTTAATATATACAAGTTAATAAATTGAGTTGTGGATGGCAACAGTTGTCTTTTAGAAAGAAATAGAGGGATTGTTTTACTGTCTCGGATTAGTTTTATATCTTATTTGCACTGATTTATGGACAGTCAACTTGGTTATCTTACTTGCAATTTTTTTTTTTTTTTTTTCCTTTTCTTTTCTGACTTTGTGCTGGAAGATATAAATGTTTGAATCACGTTAATCAGAACATGTTAAAGTTTCCTTTGGATTGGAAGTGTTAAATTTTCCTTAAAGAAATTGTAGAATTTATTTTATAATTGCATCCCTTAAGATTTGATTGTTTGGTCTTTATGTTAATGATTGATGGAAATATGAAACCTGGTTCTTTCCCATCTGGAAGGGCATTAGATACGTTCTAGTATAGGCTGTGTCTTATTGCACAGAAGAAAAATTGATTTCTAATTTCAGTTAGGGGGAATCAGAATTTTGTAGATCACAATATGAGTTGTTCATGAACAACTTGGGCTTGACTTGGTAAAAGTTCAGTTTGTGCTTGTTTAGCGAACAAGTTGAATTCAAACGACATTCAAACTTGTTAAGTAAACGAGTCAAGTCCGTTCAAAATGTACAGTGAAAAGAGAGGCATACCTCTCTGAGTACAGGAGTTGTATATATATAGAATTTTGACCTCTTAAACATAATCTATCTCTTACGTATTACATATAGTGTATGATTATATTAAGCTCTCAACATTGTTTTTCCCGGGACAAATGAGCTTTGTATTAAAAGAAACAAAATGTACAGAGAAAAGAGAGGCATGCCTCTCTGAGTACAAGCAAGCAAAACAGCAGTACTGCATAAGGAAGCTAACAGCTAACATATTCCAGTAATTAGGGTATCTAACAGAGGAACTAGAGAAATTACCAATAGGGTAAGATAGCATATTTAGCTGCAGAGAATACAAGAACCTTTTTAAGCTAACCCCTGAAGTTTGAGAACATCCATAGTCTGTAATATGTTCTTAGCAGCAAGCCACAAAATGAAGCAATGTTTAGGGATACCACCCTTGTACAGTATGGCGCTAGACCACATCCAAACCCCACAATGATCTCTAAGTTCTCAACATTGATTCAACATATATAGAAATAATAAGCAAGCATTAACGCTTCAGGATAGAAAGACACACCTATCTCCTACTTTCAGAGTGTTATCTTTAACAAATGCTGGCCAACCCTTGGAAAACCTGGCTATGCGATTCGGATGGGTTGTCACTTTCACAGGCCATGACTTATCTAACACCTGAAGAATAGCACTATTTTTACCCTCTTCCATGTAGTTCTCGAGGAAGCTAAGTGGTATATTCTGCACAAAGTACATAATATCATTATGAGTAGTGATGTACAAAGTGAAGAAATGAAAACAAGTGGGATAACAAATTTTGGGCTTCACATCAAAAGTCCTGTTGTACATATAGTTATCAGTTTCAAGGCATGATTTTTATTCTTATTTTTTGGTAAATCAGATTAGTATAAAACAAAAAATCAGGGACAAATTACAAGGGGCATTCCCCAGGCATGATTTGTTTGCCACACCTTGTCCTAATAATTAATTCTAGCTCTGGTACAGTTATGTAAAAAAATTTAACAAAATGCTACCGACAATCGTGACTGATGCAACTGTGGACTCTCATGTCTTGGATGAAATGAATTCAACTTTGGGACTCTTAAAGGCTGAGATCCCAGTCGCGACTATGGTCAGCTGTCCTTTGTCACCAACATTGCATATAAGTATTCCGGTTCTAGATAATAAGTTTACTGATTCTAGGCACTAAGAAAGTGAAAATATGAGTAACTAAATGTGGCCTAATGTAAGAGGAAGTCCCTCATCCTACTACATGTAAAAGCTATATATATGTATTGTGTGTATGTGTATTTTGATTGAATTTTGGGTAGTAAATGTTGGGTCATATAACCTTACCACAAAAGAATTTTCAACGTAAGCTGGCGCCATAACTACTTGGAAGAATGGATTTGCAGAGATGTCTGTTGCTGCTATAGGAAGCTTCATCACTCTCTTTAGCAGCCATTAGACCCCTCGAACGTGGCCGCAAAGTCCTCTTAGTTGTCTGCTTGCCACTGCCTTCGAGGGCAGACTCTTCATACTTTCCTGCATTGCATGTATATTTTGAGGCAAGTTGGAAACTTGTATACTCACTAGAAATTAACAATTACTTACTGGGTTCAAATGTCTTATTTTGTTGGTGAACTATAAGTGGTGTTTGAGTACTCCTCCTAGTAGGGATTGGAACCTCCTTTAGACAGCCACTTTTTCCAAATATTTTGACATAAAACATTGAACTGCCACCATAGCAGAATACCAGAAAATCTCCCAATTCTAATGAATTGTCTTGCACAAATTCATGCCAACCACTCTGAAAATACAGTTTGTCTTCAACCTTGTTCACTTCCACCTGCCATGATCTCCTTCCGTGACTCATAATTGTAGACTTGGAAGGTATAACTCCATTGAATTCCTTAATGAATGCTGTTGGGATTCGCTATAACAGAGAACAATAATTAAATTTTAAAAATACTGTCATTTTCTTTAGCATTTGGTCATGGTAGAAGATCGATAGTAGTTGTTAGTTATTGGAAAAAGAAAGATTACCAGTTGCTGAGAGCTTTGATCTGGGAGATAAACTTTGAAGAAATGAGGACAAGTATCAGAGAAAGAGAACTTCCGGCTAGGTGACACCATTGTTGCTGGCTGAGAGCTTTGATCTAGTGAACAGAAGAGGGAAGTCTAGAGAGAGAAAGTGTGTGAGAGAGAGGTAGTTGGTGTATGAGTTTGTGAGGAGAAGAAGAGGCTGTGCTTTCTCTTTAATGGAGATTGAAGGTGAAAAAGGAAAGCAAAAGGCCTTGAGTGGCCTGGAGTACTGTTGTGTGTGTGTGTGTGAGAGAGAGAGAGAGAGAGATGAGTTAGGACAGCTCTGCATCACTACAATTTAATGGAAGGCTTGACAGTTTACATAGAATGGGAAAGATGTTACCTGAGTCATTGATGTCACTCTCTATTTAAAAAAATAAAAATTAAAAATAACCAGGGTCTGTGCTTTCTCTTCTCTTTTATAGAGAGAATCCAAAATAGTATAGATAAGTTTCCAGGAATAGGTAGTCTACATATTCTGAAATACCCTGTTCTCGAGGCATTAGCATACAAGAATAGGGAATGCATTTACTGAAAGTTAGAACTTAAAGTATTTCATTTACAATTCTTTATCGAAATTATAAAGTATTTCATTTACAATTCTTTATCGAAATTATAAAATATGTAATATAAATAAATAAAAGTTAGAAGGGAAAAAATAATGAATAAGGTAAAGAATACGAAGAGAGAGTTAGAAGGGACTATGTGAGATACGAGGAGAGAGTTAGAAGGGACTATGTGAGATATGAGGAGAGAGTTAGAAGGGACTATGTGAGATATGAGGAGAGGAATATTTAGAAGAAAAATAATAATAAATAAGGTAAAGAATAAACGAGTATTTAAGAACTTTAAGGGAGCAATTTTAGAATTACTAAAAATTATTTGTATAAAATTAAAATAAAAAATGAACAATACTTGCCTCTTTACATGAAATTACCATATAATTTCATACATCATTTAAAGTAAACAGCCATATGAGAATCTAATGCCAGGATCAGGCCATGGGAAGGCCAGTGGACACAAAAGGGAGGGCTTTCTCAAGAGTCGAAGAATAGTGCATGATTGCAAACGACATTCATACTATTAAACATAATATATATATGTGTGTGTGTGTAAAAAGAGTTCATGAGTAGACTTGTAATGAGTAGACATGATATGGGTATGATATCTTGGCATGGGAATGTAGGTTTTGTGTAGGTGCCATTGATATTGTGAGGATGGGCAATGTAAGGTGGAACTGGAAGCATGAGATGATGAAACTATAAAAACCTGAAAAGAGGGAGACAGAGAGGTAAAAGACTATGAAGTGTTTATGGAATATCTATGAAATGTATCTGACATACTGTGTAATCAAAAGACAGCATATATATATACATACATACATCTATATATATGTATATATATATGTATGTATATCTGCTTTAACAAGCTAGACATGTAGTCATTTGAAGGCAGAGAATTGGACCTCCAGTTTTAGCTCATAAACTCTGTAGCTTTTAGCCAATCTCAATTTGCTTTTCCTGCATTACTTTCAATGCTTGAGCTTTAAATGACGAGCACAGTTAAAACTTAGGCTTTCTCCATAAAATCAACCACATTATAGGGAATAGAAAACTTAAAGAAACAAAAGTTGTATATATAGAGAACCTTAACCCCTTGAACATAATCTATATCCAACATATTACATATAGTGTATGATCATAATAAGTTCTCAACATTGATTCAACATTTATAGAGATAATAAGCAATCTTTCAACCCCTCAGGATAGAAACTTTCAGCACAAAATCATCTCTCTTAATTAGCTCAAAGACACAAACATCTCCTGCTTCGAGAGTGTTATCTTTAGTAAACCCTTTCCAACCTGAAGAAAACCTGGCTATGCGATTCAGATAGGTTTTCACTTTCACAGGCCATTTATTAGCTGACACCTGAAGAATAGCATTCTCTTTACCCTTTCCCATGTATTTGTTGATGAAGCTTACTGGTATATGCTGCACAAAATGCAAGTTTATATAATATCGAGCATTGATATACAATGTGAAGAATTAATCAAAACAAGTGGTATGACATATTTTGAGCTTGACATCAGAAGTCCTTTGGTCCCTATAGTTATCAGTTTCAAGGTTTTTTTTTTTGGTTTGCTACACGTTCCCTAATAATTAGTTAATGCTAGTTCTGATACAGCTACAGAATTTTCATGACAACTTTACGCACGTGTGCGCGCGTGTGTGTTTTGGTTGAATTTTGGTAAGAAATGTCGAGTCGTAACCTTACCAGATAACAACCATTAATGTCAGTATAAGATGGCTTTATAACTACTTGGAAAGAAGGGTGTGTAGAGACGAATTCTGTTGCTGCTTTGGGAGCTCCATCATTCTCTTCCATAGCTATCCGCTTGCGGCTGTCTTCAAGGATAGACTGTTCATACTTTTCCGCATTATATGTATATATATGTATAGGTGAGCTATGTATATATGTATATATGATTAGTACTCTTATATTTTGAGGCAAGTTGGAAACTTGTATGCTCCACTAGAAATTAACAAGTACTTACTGCTTTAAATGTCAGTTTTTTTGGGAGAACTGTTGATTCTTTTTTAGTACTCTTTCTACTAGGGATTGGAACCTCCTTTAGACAGGCAGTTTTTCCAAATATTTTGACATGGAACATTGAACTACCATCAAAGCAGAATACTAGAAAATCTCCGATTTCTAATGAATTGTCTTGCACAAATTTGTGCCAACCATTCTGAAAATATAGTTCGTTATCAACCAAGTTCAGTTCAACACTCCATGATCCCATTCCCTGATTTATAACTGTAGATTTGGAAGGTATAACTCCATTGAATTTCTCGACGAATGCCGGTGGAATTTTCTGTAACAGAACAAAAATTGAATTTTAAAATACAAAGTTATGCTATTTATATAAATTTTCTTAGCTAAAAGTATAGTCTATATAGTAGATGTAGCAAAGTGAAGTTTTATATATATATATATATATATATATATATATATATTTTGATTGGGTGTTGTGAAAACATTTTGGTGATAAAACTGTCATTTTCCTCAAATATTGTTCATGGTGGAAGTTTGATAGTAGAAGGGAAATAAAAAATTACCAGTTGGTTAGTGCTTTGAGCTGGGAGATAAACTTTGAAGAACTGAGGACAAGTATCAGAGAAAGAGAACTTCCTGCCAGGTTTCACCATTGTTGTTGTTCACGCCAAAACCCCTACAAAAGCGTAAAAACCCTATTTAACCCTAATGGGATAGAGTCCAAGCAACGTGTGGACTTCATCATTATAGTTCCAAAATCTAATGAAATAGTAGTGCAGGTAAGTTTCTATGAATAGGAGTCTACATTTTCAGAAATACACTATTATTCTTAAGGCATTAGTATACTTGGAATTGGAAAGGCATTTACTTAAGAAAGTTCAATAAACAAAAAGACATTTACATGAAACGGATTGTATTTATAATTCTTAGCCAATGGAATGGTATATATTTCAATTTATTTGATTCCATCTCTTGCCAATTTAAATTAAATTTATAAATGAGTAGCAACAAACCCTTGCGTGGATTTCTTCTCTAAATTTGGTTTAAAGTCTTTTTATCTACCAACTTGACGCTGGTGGTGTAACGGGTGAGCGTTTGTCTGTTGATCCAAAAATTATGTTATTGAGTAGTACTACATACCCACCTATTTTAGCTTTTCATTTGGATCTGATGTGAGAAACCTCTAACATTCTTCTCCACTTGAACTCGCAACGCCTTCATTACGGTCGGGCCACCCTACCTCCGAGTTAGACATTTGGTGTGACATCGAATTAAGAACTGGGTTTGACTCTGATGTCAATTGTAAAGGGTGGACGTTTTCCCGTTAAGCTTTTGGGTCAACGAGTAAGCGTCCACCCGTTACAATAAGAGGAAGAAGAAAAATATAGAAGAAATCACAATCAAGAGAAGGAGTTAAATAAACAAAGGGTTACGACATCTAAACGTAATTCAAGTCCAAAAGTGTCTCAAAATTATTCTCATCTTCCATCACCCACAGGGACGGACCTAGAAATTCATAGGAGGGCGGGGGCAAATTTATATAGAGGAGTTTTTTCATAATTTCAGTTGAGGCAATTTTAAAATTTTATGGGTATAAATATAAAAAAGTATAAATTTAAGGATGTAAAATATAATAATAAAAATTCAGTGGGGTCGGATGTCCCCACGAAGCTCACATTACATCTGTGCCTAATCACCCACATATATATATGTATGTATATGTCTTCATTTTCTACTCTGCATTAAAGAAGCTGCAACGCCTAACTCTCAACACAAGTTACAAAGTTGACAACAATCTCGGTCTATTTGAATGTAAAATATTTTTAAAAGTTTTTATTTTTATTTTTTAGTGTTTGCACACTTCACTCAATAGACTTGATTGTAACTTCACAAAAACTTTTGCTAAACATCAAAAAAATAAAAAATAAAAAATAAAAAATTTACATGAAAAAAATATATATTTTCTGAGAAATATATTTTACTTAGAAATGAACAAAGCCTAAATTAAATACAACTTCCAATACCCAAGATACTAAGAAATATAAAGTATACGTAGTTGGGAAAATCAAGTCATTTGTCAATACCTCTCTTGATCTTCAATTAACACAACTTACAATACTCAAAATACTAGGAAATATAAATATAAATAACTAGAAAAATTAAATTATTTCTCAAGATTATCTCTTGATCTTCCAATTAACCACCTAAGCATCTACATGGTATTGACAAAGCTCCCAAGTAAGCACTGCATCACTGATTCAGATCTCTAATGATTTGTTGACATTCTCAAAAAAAATTTATTCCATTTCTAATGATTTGATTCCATTTTGATTTGTTGACATTGTATATAAATCTTTTATCATCCACGTGAGAAGTGAGAACTTTCTTCATATATAGTGATTCATAAAGTCATTCTCTCCACAATTTTTTTTCCCTCGTTAGAACTTTATACCCAATGAATGTTTACCTTCTCTTTTTTTATCTTTTTTTTTTTAATTCTTTTTCCTGACATTTTTTTAGTATTCTATTGAAACAGTTTATTTGATTTCCATGCCATATATATATATATATATATATATATATATATATATATATATATTTTTTTTTTCCTTAGTCAGTACCCCCTAAATCCTCAATTTCTCACATGGGTACTATTTAATTTGTAGATTCTTGGAAAATAATAAGTATTAATATTTATTATTAGTCCACATCAGTCGTGAGTTTGTTGTAAATCCTCACTAGTAAGGATCTAAGTATTGTCCAATATAAAATAACACATGATGCAATATCTAGCATCCTAAAATAATCAAATATTAAAATATATTAATAGGATTTTTCTTTGATGTAAGTGCATCTCCTCTAAACAAAATTATGTCTATCTTGTGAAAGCAAAATTATGTTAAAACAAGATTAACCAAGTAAGCTATATCTAGCATCCTAAAATAATCAAATATTAAAATATATTAATAGGATTTTTCTTTGATGTAAGTGCACCTCCTCTAAACAAAATTATGTCTATCTTGTGAAAGCAAAATTATGTTAAAACAAGATTCACCAAGTAAGCTGGCACGGATCATTTTTCTTTGATGCAAGTGCACCTTCTCTAAGCAAAATTATGTCTATCTTGTGAAAGCAAAATTATGTTAAAACAAGATTCACCAAGTAAGCTGGCGGATCTACAGTTAAATTTTTTTTATTACATTTTACATCTCTAAATTTATATTTTTTTGTATTTATTAAAATTTTAAAATTGTCCTCACTGAAATTAAAATAAAATAAAATAAAACCCTCTATATGAATATCTAGATCCATCCCTGCAAATATACTATCTAAAATTTAAAACTTCTAACTATGCTACCATGCACTATTTTATTATTTTTTTTCTAAAAAAATGAAATTGCTTTTGCAGAAAATAATAAATTACTTTAAAAAATTAGAATTAGGATTATGGCGTACCGGATTGAGCTCGAGAAATTGATTGAAAGAGGATATCTATGTATTTCTACCTCATATTTCTTTCTTGAAAAAAGATGGAGAGTATATGAGAGAGGAACTTCTTTGAAATGAGTGAGGAGAGAGTTAGAAGCCATTGTTTAGAAAGGAGATGAATATTGAGTGAGAACTTTACGAGGGCTGTTTTAGAATTGGCTTTATTACTGATTTACTACTGGTAACTCCTGGTACTATTCATTTTTGGAAGTTAATAAAAACTGACAATTTTTTTGAAATAATAACATCTTTTAATTCTAGGATAAAATGCTAGTAAAAGAATTATACTACATGTCTGCAAATATTGAGATATTTTTTATTTTTCTTTTGATTTTGTTCCCTTATTTTAAAAATAATGACATTTAAACTTGCTGGAATTAAAGTTAATTTTTTGCTTGTTAACTAAATAAGTTGAATTCAAACTACATTTAAACCTGTTAAGTAAACCACGAATTGAGTCCGTTCAATTATTACTGTTACATTTGTGAACGTATTTCAAGAGTTCATGAGTAGACTTGTAAAGAGTTGACATAATATCATTACCTCATTTTGAAAAAACAATAAATCTTGGAAAATATCAAATAACATTAATGCAATTGATATATCTAAAATATCAAAATTTTAATTACTAGCCTCAATTTTAATATGAATAAAAGCCAGTATTTAGAACTCAAGCTCTCTCCTACATTAGCAGACTACAAAAATACAATAACTAATTGAATGCAAATGCAGTTTCCAGATGGGAATGTTTGGTGCAGATACATTACCAAATAAACAACCCTCTTCTTCAAACTGTACAAGCCAGCCCGTTGCTCTTCATGATCAGATTGCAACAACTGATAGTGCAAATCAGAAATCCCTAACTGTGAAAAAGAAAGCGATAACTACCTGAAAGCGATTGAAGAAGCCAGCGAGGAATGGTAGTACCCAAGTGGAAGATACGGAAAGGATGCAGAAGCGGGGATTGGATGATTCGGAACAAAATGAAGTCGCAATACGAGCCAAGAGGGTGTGCCCTACTGTTGATCGGGAGTATTCGACGGAACAGTTTAACACAGAAACTGGTATGTTATCGGATTTTGAGGTGGTGGCAGCCAGCCTTAAATGGCCCCCGACGTCATCATGAAAATTCTCAGTTGGAATTGCCAGGGTGTGGGGAATCCCCTGACAATTCGACAGTTGATTAAGTTGGGTTGCCAACATTCCCCAAATGTGATAGTTTTAATTGAAACAAAAAATATGAAGGAAAAATTAGAGGCCGTTCGTCGGAAATTGAAGTATGATAATTTATTTTGTGTAGATCCTAATGGTCTAGCTGGAGGTTTAGCTATTTTTTGGAAAAACGAGAAGCCACTCACGGTGATGAAGGCATCCAGTTTTCAGGTTACATGTTTGCAGGGAGGTAAGCCAGAACGGAATTGGTGTTTCACTGCTATTTATGCTAGTACAAAGGACGCAGTTCGGAAAGAACAATGGAATTTTCTGAGAAAATTACAAACTTCAGTTGGATCAAAATGGGTTTTGCTGGGTGATCTTAATGATTTATTGTATCCAGAGGAGAAGAAAGGAGGTAGAGTAAGGCATGGTCGGACGTTGAAGAGCTTTAGAGACTTTGTGGCTGACTGCCAGTTGCATGATTTGGGTTTTCTGGGTTATCCTTTTACATGGTGTAACAATAGGGATGGGGATGCGAATGTAAATGAAAGGTTGGATCGTGTTCTAGCTACTGTGGATTGGCGAATTCAATTTTTAGCGGCTGCTGTTCAACACCTCCATATTGTTGGGTCTGACCATGCAGTTATCTTGTTAGATTTGTTCTTAAAAAAAGGCTCGAAGAGGAAAAGTTTCATGTTTGACTCGAGGTGGGTTCAAGATGAGGAATGTGCTTCCGTTGTTGAAAGGGCTTGGCAATTTCAAGGGTATGGTACCTCGCAATTTTGTTTGAAGGAAAAATTAAAAAAGTGTAAAAGAAACCTTGTGCGATGGAGTAAACAGAAGAAATGGAACTCACACCTGCAAATTCAACAGTTGGAAGCTCAATTGAAAGGGGTAAGAGAGAATGAGGGCGATTACTCTGCAAATGCATGCGATCAGGTCCAGAAGAAGATAAATGCATAATGGAAAAATGATGAGTTGTATTGGCGCCAAAAATCTCAGAAGGAGT